CCAGACGCTGCACAGGTTCTCCAGAGCCCCCCAGTACGGACGACACGCGTCCCCGCTGCCGCAGGCCTAATGACCAGGCAAGGGGACGGAAAAGCATTGGAGAATGCGGGCATCGATCCCGCTGCCTCTCACATGCTAAGCGAGCGCTCTACCACTTGAGCTAATTCCCCAGCCCACGGCCGGCCCCTGAGCAGCCGTCTGCTCACAGTCACCCAGCCCGTGGCCTGGACAAGAGCCAAAAGGGCACTCCTTCGAGCCGGAGTTGAACCAGCGACCTAAGGATGGCCGTGCATGGGAGCCTACAGTCCTCCGCTCTACCAGCTGAGCTATCGAAGGAATCACAGACATCTTATGGGAAATACTCCGTTTAGATATCTCTCAAACTCTTATGCTTCTTACTGAGCAGAGTATCCGCACTTATCAAGAAATCCTCTAGTATATAAACTCCCTACCAATACCAGTGATGTTGAACAGATCCTCAAACACCATCCTAAGCCACTCTCCCACCCGCTGTTGTGATGTATAATCTACCTATCAAGTGTACTGCTCATACCTTGTCATTTTTTTCACTGAATTTATTTTAGCTTTCTAAGCACTTATCTCTCTGATATCTTAGTCTACTTCGATTTTTTTTAAAAGCATGGCCTTTATAGTAAGATCCTTGTGCAGCTTTTCTATGTCCTGCTTTCTTCTGCAATGGATAATCTTTAAAACTCAGCTTCTTGCCCTTTCTGCTTTGTGTGAGCTGTTTTGGAGCATGTTTTCTACCTTGTAATTGCATTTCTACTTGCCCTCTTTGTCATGAATCTGGGCCTGGCCCTTTTTACTCAAGTAGCCTACCTCAGATATTCTGCATGCACACCACCACCGAGCTGTCTTTGTAGATCTGTGTCTGAATCTTGTCCCGTTCTCACTCTTGACCATGAGCAGCACTCTTACCTCAGTCTCCGTATTCTGACCTCACAATTGCTGTGGAGGTGTGGATGTCTGAAAGGTGGCAAAGGTGTCACGGTATCTGCACAAGAGCCAAAAAGGTACTTCTTCACAATGGAGTTGAACAAACAAGTTAAGGATAGCCATGCAAGAGTACCTATAATCTCCTGCTTTACCAGCTGTGTATTGATGGAGTGGCTGGAGTATGAGTTACAGCACTCCATTTTCCATTGCACTGTTTTTACACCCACTGCTTCCAATATGCACTCTCTCCACCCAGATATACCTCCAGCAGATTGTGTGTGTAGCACAATCTGGGCCTGATCTCAGCTCTCACTCTAAGCCTACCACAAACAGAAGTACCAAGGGTGTTCTTCCAAATTCCTTTCCCTGAATGCCGCAGTCTTCTTGTGGAATAGTTGTGTCTTTCCTTTTTCTCACTTGTCTCTCCCAAAAGTGTCACATTGCTTTCTGCTATCAAGGGCTGCAGTGGTCAGTGGAGAAGAGACCATTCATCATGAGAAAAATCTGAATTGACTTGAAGTTGTGTGTTTGGTATAAGAAGGAGGCCGGAATTCATTTTACTCTTTTTTTTTTTATTATTATTATTTATTTATTTATTTTAATTTGGCCTTCTTCCCTTTTGTATTCAAAATGAACAGCTATTACTACTTACCTAGACATTTCACTTCCAAGAGACTCACGGGGAAACTTCTGTATAGCTGACACGTTCTCTTATTTCACAGAATCATAGAATGTTTTGGGGGAGCAAAGGGGGGAGAGTCACATGACCTACTAGATACACTTCTTTTGATGCAGCCCAGGATACAGTTGTCTTTCTGGGTTGCAAATTGGCTCACATTAAGCTTTTAATCCACTGGTACATTCGATGCCCTTCTCCTCAAGGCTGCTCTTTATCCACTCATTGCCTAGCCTGTGTTCTTCTTTGGGATTGCCCCAACCCAGTTGTTGGACCTTACACGTGGCCTTGTTGAACTGCCTGTTGATCACACAGGACCCCCTCTCATGCCTGTCAAAGTCCCTTTGGATGGCAACCCTTCCATCCAGCATGTCTGCTGTATCATTCGTCTTGGTGTCATCTGCAAACTTGCTGAGGATGCATTCAATCCCACTGTCCCTGCCACCAACAAGGATGTTAAATAGTTAAATAAGATTCCTGACAAACACCACTCATCACTGATCTCCACCTTTGAGTTCTTTAAAAGACGTTTAGATTTAGAGCTTAGCGATATGGTTTAGTGGAGGACTTGTTAGTGTTAGGTCAGAGGTTGGGCTAGGTGATCTTGGAGGTCTCTTCTAACCTAGATTATTCTGTGATTCTGTGAATATTAAGCCATTGACCGCAAGTCTTTGAGTGCAACCATCCAGCTAATTCCTTACCCACTGAGTGGTCTGTCTATCAAATCCATGTCTTTCCAACTTGGAGACAAGGATATTATGCAGGACAGTGTCATATTCTTTGCTCAAGTCCAGGTATATGATGTTACTTTCTCTTCTCTTATCCACCAGTGCTGTAACCCTATCACAGAAGGCTGTCATGTCATGTTCTTTTCCTTATTTTTGTTCTTGTCCTTACTTTTACTGTTTCTTGGGCTGAACCTTGTTGAGGGATTTCTTGAAACAGCAAAAATCCCATGGCTTGCTGTAGCTGAGCAAACCAAGCTACCAGGGCAACTATGAGAAGTTCCCATGACAGTGTTCCCACATCGCCCAATTGAGGAACTCAGAAAAATATTGTTACCAGTGGCTGGCTTCAAGGACAAGGTCTATGTGACTGCTAATCACAAGGGGGTTGTTTTCTTGCAGGTGGGGTTGTTTTCTTGCAGTTGTTTGTCTGAGTGCTTTTGACCAATAATCTTGTGTGAAACACTGTCCACCCCTGTTAAGTTCTCTATAAAAGTTAGGCTATTCGGGCAATAAAATGGAGCATGATCTGACTCTACTGTGTGTCTGTCGTGCTTTCGGCCGTGCTTCCTGCAACAGAACCTAATGGAGTCCTTTCTCTCACTCATATGAATCACACTGGCAGTATATAGATCTCTGACCCACTACTAAATCATCACCAATTAGTATATGACATCTTGTGCAGGGAGTAGTTAGCATGATATTTTTATTGAGTTTTCTCAATACTAAGCTAAAGTAAGTATGTAACTAATATAACTAATATTTTTTCACCTCTTTGAAATGACATTGCATTCAAATTCTTATGAGATTTTTGGGAAAGAGAAGAGGGCAGAAGAGGTCTTTGGGGCTGTTAGTTGTGGGAAAAGGAAGAAGGGCCAGAGATTGATTGTCTGATGCCTCCAGCCAAGCATGAGTTTTGAAAGAAATGCCTCTCCCATTTTTCATTCTAATTGCTAGGTTTTGTTTTCAGCTAAGAAAAGGAATAGATTGCATAAGCTACTTAAATACTTGGTTGGCACATTATGTCATTAGTCATGCAAGAATGAGCTTGTTTTTCCAGTTCTTCTATTTCATCTTTTATTATATTTAAGGTACCATATGCACAATATACTAGCTATGATTGAACATGAAGCTATTGATGCTATTAGAGACATTTTTAAGGAGTCAGCTACGATCTATGAGAAGATGATTTGAGTTCAGTGTATAGAATTGAAGATATTGTTGTCAGAGGCTATTCTCAGGCTCATATCAGTCTTGATACTGGCAGAATGTCTCCAAGACAGGAACCGTCATCAAGAGCAAAGCACTTACATTTTGCTGGGAGGATAACCAGTGCTGGGACTTCAGTAGAAAGTCAATCAGTATCCCACTCAGAGGATAAATTTGTTAGAGCAAGTGTGGGCACGCTGCCTTCACACCACAATTAATTTATTTGTTTACTTACTTATTTTGGCATAATGGTCATGACTAGCTCCTGAAACACTCAGAGAGAACATTTAAAAATACAACATAGCTTGACTTAGGTGAGGATGACAGAATTGAATACTCTATTAAATCACTTTTGATGCCACTAGAGGTCAGCACTAGTCATTAAATAAATGTCCTCGGAAAATTTTATTGCCACTTCTACAAAGGGAGTGGAGATTTTCAAAAAGCTACACTTACATCTATGCTTGCTTTGCAGGTACATGTGAGCTCACACTGCTCCAACGTGGTTGGAAGCAAACCCTTTATTTCCCAAATCTGATTCCCCAGTGCCGTCTGTGAGCCAACAGTCCCACATGGTTGTTTTCCAGCTGTATCTGTACTCTTAATTCTGTAGCAACAAGCACAGTCAGAGAAAAGAGACAGTACCAAGACCTGTCCTGGCAAAGGCTTTCCACCAGCATAAACAGCTCCAAACGGCCAACAATCAGCTTCCACTACCTTAGGGACAGGCATTAAGTGTGGCAGTGATGAAGTAGACTCAGACAGGCATTGGAAATTAATAATATAATAAATAAAAATAATGAGCTAACTCATTATGCTTTTCCATCTTGTGCTTCAGAAATATGCTTCCTTTCTCTTGCAAGTCCTAAATTTGTTTTTGATCATCACTGTCTGGGCTTCTGCAAACACAGACACTGTTTACTATATTTTAATATAGCTACTATTGATAGACAATCAAGGGCTGAATTTCCTTTGCAATACAGATCATTTTGATGGGATAAACATGTTTTTAAACAACCTTTATAAAATCTTTATCTTTGTTGAAACCTGCTAAATGATGCAAATCAGCTGCCAAACATAATGCAACAAATGTTTGTGATTTATTACCAGGGTAAAATCTGTGCTTCCAGCATGTATCGCTTTCTGCCTTAATTTGATAGCTGATGAGGTATCAAGGCACAATGTTCATGCCTAGTGTAACCAGCACGTCTCTTTCACAAAAACTTTCATTTTCACTTACTTTGTGTCACCTTCCTTTCACTGAATGTTCTGTGTGTGTTAGAACTGGAAATAAGAAAGTCCAGGCTGAACGTACTGTTCAGAATAATTATGCCTCTGCTAGAGTATTTTGTAATGTTTTATATGTGTCCGTATACACACGTTATATGCACACACTACCAATGTTTATTTTCCTTTTTTTTTTTATGTTGAAGAAAACTGGCTCTGAAATATCATCCTGACAAGAACCCTGACAATCCAGAGGCTGCAGAAAAATTTAAAGAGATAAACAATGCTCATGCAACGCTGACTGATCTGTCCAAGCGAAACATTTATGACAAGTATGGATCCTTAGGGCTCTATGTGGCAGAGCAGTTTGGTGAGGAAAATGTTAACACATACTTCATGCTCTCAAGCTGGTGGGCAAAGGTAAGCTGTCATTTTCTGTTGAAAAGCAGGCATCATAATGCACAAAGATACTTATATACACAAGGAACCCCCTGAAAAACAAGGTGTCCATACAGGCTTAACAAAGAGTAGGATCAGGACGTAAAACACTACTAAAAGTTTAATTAAACAATAAAGTATCTGGGAAAATCAACAGTGGCAGATGTAGCATCAGCTCAGAAGAGGGCTAATATAGAATGTTTTCTTTTTCTTTCTAACATGGTAAATAAAGCACATGTTTTGTAACACTTCCAGACATTAATTAGATTTGAATCTGGTGCTCCAGGTTAATTTTGACTTTCTTTTCAGTAGTGACTAAATAAAAGTGACTCATTGTTCAAAAATGAGAAGTCCCACTTATGTGACAACCAGTTAATAAGTTATTACAGTACAAATTTAGCTGTGTTCTTTGCTATATATAGCACACAGCATAAGTAAGCAATAATAATACATAACACTGTGGGATTATGGTGTCATATACGTGCCCTGTCAGTTCTTGGTGAGGGGGTGAGGGAAGGGAAGTGGAAGAAAAGGTGAGAACTGGGGAGTGGGGGAAGAGATCAGGAAAGGAAGAGAATGATGCATCAAAAACTGGCATATTGCTCAAGGAAAAACACCTCATGGAGTGCTCTTGTGATAAAAGAGTTGTGTTCATGTGCTTGCTTATGTCACTGTTATCCTCTGATGTTTCTATATGTCAAATTCTGGTGTTTCAGCAGATATTGAAATGTTACAGAAATGTAACAAACCAACAGAACTGCAAATATGCAAAACCAATGCTCTCCCCACCTGTTTCCAACAATAAAAAGCAGGAAAGAAAGGTCTCTGCTGGAACAAGTGGGAAATGGTGAAACAAACCTGCTGTGACAGCTTTGATCTCAGAACGATGGAACGTGCATTCTTGCGTTCGTGACAGATCAGGGCAGTGCTTCACTGCCCTCACAGCCCCCTCACTGCAGATTTGTGGGTTTAGGAAGCCACATTTTGTAGGCTGAATCAGTATGAGATGGAAGCTGCTCAAATGCCAAACTGCAAATGAAACTAATGAACAAAAAGCACCAGTGTTGAAATGACACCTGCACGGTTGGGGTGGCATCCTCAGAAGCAGCCTGGAGGCTGTCTGCCTGCGGCTGGGCTCCTGGCCACAGCTGCTTTCTGTTCCTGCTGGGTCCATCCCTGTTCTCTTTGCTGTCCTTTCACCCTCTTCTTCGGCCTCTTTGTCATGGCTCAGGTGCCTGGAAGCATTCCCTTAGAGCTGAGAGAGCAACTGTACTGGCTCCTCCAACAGTCTTGATAATTAAAGTTTTCATCACATTTAGCTTTTATTTCCTCTTCTGCTTGCTGATTGTTAATGGAGACTTTATGAAGTATAAAATCCTCTGTGGTCAGAAAATCAGGAACGGAAATAACTGCTGTGGCTTTGACTCATAAGGAGAGCAGCGGAGAGTACAGAGAGAAGCTAGTAAGTCCCTAACACAGAAAGGAGGAACGTGTGGATTGTTTCAAGAGAGATGTATCCTGGAGGTGAGAAGAGAGGTGCTGAATGTCCCAGCAAAATTAATCACTGTTTCCTGAGTTTTAAGAATTCTGTACACAATAGCCAGGAAAAATCCAAAATATGCAAATGGTTAGCACCTGAGGATTGTCACAGGTGGTCTCTCTCTATCTCTCCCCTAATCCCACACCTTGCCACCTCCAAAGCAGAAACAGGTCACCAAATGTTTTTTTCAAGCTGAGGTCACTAATCCTCGTCTCTTTTTTTCTCACACACAAATGGCAGGTCAGCTTCAGATTTTTATAGTATCCATCATAATACTATTTAAGTCTGACTGCGGATGATCTTAGGACCCCTAATTTTCTCCACTCTGGTCTGCAGAAGGTAGGGACCACAGCTTTTGCTTATTATCTTCTTCTTCAGCTACCAAAATTCCTGGTAAATCCTCTTCCCTAACACACTCATACTCAAAAAATCTGACAATCATGAGGAGGTGTATCATTAGAAGTAAAGAAAGTCAAATGAAAGGAGAAATGCAAAGTGAAAATTACTTTTTTGGAACTGCCAGACTTCTTAGCAGGCATATTAAACTTGGAACATATTAACATGGGTAGTGGGTACTTGAACTGCATATCCACTGGCAGACATAGGAGTTGTTCATTCATCTATTATTGCAAAAAGCAATTCTCCCTCTCCCATGAAGACAGTTTAATTATCACATCAGTGTTCTTCTGATTCCTGATTTATCACCTGCAATATTTTAAATACAAGAATCGTGAATCATTAATTTATCATTAATAGATTCACGTATATATTTCACTTGATAAACTTTTATACTTCTTTTCCTTCTATCCATTGTGCTGTTTTTTCCCCATTATGGCATAAACGATAAACAGACGGATAACTTATTTTAGAGGTTCTGAGATTTCTAACAGTTTCAGATGTCAGTTGGAAGGAAAACATTTTAAAAAGAAATGTCTGAGTCCTCCTTGTCTTTTAAAAAAGCATCCTGTTCACTCTTGATATATCTGTGGGTAGAATAGATTATCATTGGCCTCGAGCCTGCGAACACATAAACGGTAAATATTACACATGTAAATATCATATTACCTTCAAAGCTCGTGCTAACATTGCCTGAGACATGCATACATAACTGAGTGTTATTTACATAGCTTCATTGTCAAATTTGACAATATCCTGGCATTTATGCTTCCTTTCTTCTTCACCAGCATGTTTACTTATGAACCTAAGAACTAACTGCAAGAGCACATAAGTGAAACTGCATTTAGTAAAGGGCAGCCTGGATACCTGTAATACTAGAGCCTGGCTCTGCTGAGGCCTCTGCACTTGGTGTGACAGGGACAGGAGCAAGCAGGGGCAATGCTGGTGGGAGCTTCTTGATGCCTAACTCCCCAGACATAGAAACCACAGCCCAAGGAGTCTAACCTAGGAGTTGTCACCTCTCTGCTTCTGCACAGGCTAAAGAAGAGAAGGAGACACCTCCAAAGGGCAATGCAAATTCTCCTGGGGCTGATTCACCCTCTGGAAGGTCTTTTAGCTTCCCATCACCTATCTGGGGAGCCCACAGAAACCGTGGGTCTAATTTAGCTGCCTTAGTTCAGTGTCTGAAGTTGTGTGGATGCATCTGAGTCTTCGCTTCTTTTTCTCTTGGCTTTGTTATTAACAAGAACCTGCCAGTAAATAAGTGTTTGAAAAAAAAAAAAAAAAAAAAAAAAAGTTCTTGGGCAAATGAGTCATTTTTAAGATGGAAATGAGTCATTTTAAGGTGGGTGGGGTTTTGCATACTGCCTGGAGGTTTTTTCTGAGGGCCGTCAGCTGAAGACAGGCGTTCAGGAGCTGGGCATGCGGGGGCCTGTTGGTTGGTGGCTTCTTTGTGGCTGTGGTCCCGAGTGTCAAGCAGGAGCTGGTGGGTGAGGAGGACCCTGGAAGGTCTGGTCCTGATTTAGGCACTCGTCTGGTGGTCGGACTCCTCTGAGAACCACGCATGTGGGAGCCCGAGTCCCTTTGAAGAGCCTCTTTGAAGAGGCTGCTGTGGGTTTCGGGAAGGTCACTGCTCACAGGGTTTTCCTCTTGCTCTCTTCAACCCAGGGCTTGTTTGCAGTCTGCGGCCTCCTGACGGGCTGCTACCTCTGCTGCTGCCTCTGCTGCTGTTTCAACTGCTGCTGTGGAAAGTGCAAACCCAAAGCACCTGAAGGGGAAGAGTATGAGTTCTGTGTGTCTCCAGAAGATTTGGAAGAGCAAATTAAGAACGACATGGAAAGAGGTGTGTATTATAGGGGCTTACTGGGGAGCAAAGCTGTTCAAAGCAGCCCCTGGAGCCTGTAGGCCAGATGTTGTGCTCGTGGTGCTGAGGCTGATTCCAGACGGCCGTGGAGATGTGCCAATTCTCTCCAGCTAATGCTGTGACCTAGTGAACTTCCCAAGTAGCATGATAATGAAAAATTGAACTTATGGAACTAATAACAAAATATCTCCTCCATCTCTTTATTAGACACAAACATCAGAAGTCTCAGGGCTCATCTGAAGAGAAGATGCTCGCCTTCTAGCCCCCATACCCCTGTTGCTTCATATCCCAGATCCTGTACATGCATAGCTGGCTCCAGCTGGACTGGAGCTTGCCACATCTCACCTGCCTGAAAAAGTACATTCAGTTTTTACTCAGGTAAAATTCATCACTTTTTGTAACAGGCTGGCCATGCCCATTAAAGAAAGGCTTTAAGAAAAGATGCAGAGCTTCCAGCTGTAGGGTTGCGCAGTAACCTAAGACATTCAGAGTGGGAGCTGCCCCTCTCTCTTCTACCTGCAAGCTGCTCCCTCTCTACTGCACTGGACACGGCAATTGTGCTGCCTCACCAGGAGCCAAACCTTGGATAGGACTCAGATGAAAAGTTATCTCCCCAAAAGAGCAAGCAGTTCCCTGCCAGTTTAACTCCCTGGTGTGCCTCGCAGCAGGACAGGGCAAGTGCTAATCCAGCTCAAGGAAGGGATCACAGGCTGGGGACAGCAGGACCCCTGCACAGCAGGTTGCCCTCTTGGCTTGGCTTATTATACTTAAACTAGCAGTGCCAAATTGCAAATGTCACATTCCCATAGCAGGAAGAGTTTTCTCCCCTCTTCACACACAAATAAACCCTTTCATAAATATGTAACGAAACACCTGTAGTAGTTGAAACAAATGCTATTCATATAACTGATATGCCAATGAGTGTTGTTTTTAAATTGTTTTTGCCTAGAAGCATATCAAGGTAAACACAGTCAGCTTAGAAATCGATCATAGTTGGTCAGTCAGTTCAAAGGTAACAAAAAAAAAAAAAATGTTAGTGAAAGCTTTATAACCACAGTGCATTATTTGAAATAAATGTAATATAAAGTAAGACATTAAGCACCCGAAAAGTGCAAATATAAAATGGGTTTTGATGCTTATGGGTCTATGACACCAAAGTCAGAAATACAAAGGTGTAACTTGGAAAAATGTTTAATTTAGCATTTCCCTGCCTCTTTTTGTAATTTGGCAGTCATTTTGCTGCCTCTCAAAATCCAGGACAAATTTCTGTAGAGGAAGGAAAAAAAAGGTTCTCCCTCCTTTCAGCACTAGTGGTGCTTCTTGACATGAGTTCAGTAACGTTAGGCCATCTTGCCATCCCTTTACTACCACCAAGTCTCACCTAAATAGCCTATAAATTAGTAAACAAATAAATAAATTGCATGTTCAGCAAAGTACCACTATGTTTTAGGTACTGTGAAGACAATATTGAGTGATCGGGTAGGGCTTGAAGAAAGCTAGCTATTTCTACCTTTCCTAGCCTTCTCTTTCATCTTGCTACATTTCCTTGCCAATCAAAACCAGCTTGCTTAAGCAGAGTAGAACTCTCTACATCTTAAAAGCAAATGAAAATAATAATAATAATAATAATAAAATAAAAGTAAAAACTTCATGACAGAGGATGGAGGGAGCATCTTTTCTGAAACTGAGAGGAAAATAGGCATTTCATTTAGAGAAATGAATGGTAACCAGCTCAAACTGCAGTTACTTTCCCTCTTCTCCTCACCAGATTTTAGGGATACTGGTAAAAAAGAATCAGATGACCTAGAATAGAAAAGATTGGGCTTTTCCACCAGACATTTTCAAATGTTGGGCCAGAGAAATGAATACTCATGCCTTCCTTTGTGTAAATAATAGAAATGCTCTTGTAGGTAATTCAGAAACACACTGTAATCAGTCCTGCAGCAGACTACGTTTTGGAAGAGAAAATCATATCAGGATCCAAATTCTTTGCATGCCCTCTGCCCACAGACTGAGCATTCTAGCTGGTAATTAATTTCTTTGCTTCCTGCTGTCCCAAGTTTATATATTGTTGCTAGCCAGAACTTCTTTTACTGAGGTCAAAATGTAGATTCCCAAACTAAGGCCATACTTTTATTTACCCAAATATTTTATAATCAGCCCTTGCTTTTCTGAGGAATGCAACGGTGATAAAACATCACAGTCCCTGATGCTAAAAATCTCTGAGAGCAAGTCTCCACCAGTTCTTGCTGCACTCCCTGGGAGCTGCTTGCAGCCAGTCATACTGTGCAGAAAAGGCAGCATGCCTGTTGTGGGAGCAGGGACTTTCCTTTCTAGAAAGGGCACAACAGTAGTCATTTTTGAAATCCCTCACATTTCTCCTTAACAAAACTCAAGGTGCTACATAGTTTGATTTCCCGATTTAACATACCATAAAACAAATTTATTAGTAAACAAAGATACGTGAGGCCAAAAATTCTGTGATTCATTCTTTAAAATGGAAAAGCAATGCGAGTTGTCACTGAAATCAACACAATCATTTCAAAACCCGCAATTCTGAAAAAAAAAAACCAAACATATTCCTCTAGAAAAAAAGTTTTATTCAAATAAATATTTGACTAGTTCAAGTGCTTGGCTAGCTGAGTGTCTGCTGTGGGAGACTTGTTTTACAGCTTTTACTTCCATGGGTAGTATCACCAACAAGAACTAAGATTAGGGATTCATAAGATCTGTGCTGTGCTTAGGTTACAGTGATTTCTTCCCATGATTATTGATTCGAATCACAAGAGGACTCTGGCTGTCACACAATGCACAAAAGAAGATCAATTTCCAAAATAAATCTTATATTCGGATGATTACATTTTAAATGTGACAGTTTTTAGCATTTCAGGAAAAAAAGAAAAAGAAAAACAGAAAAAAAAAAAGTGACATTATAAATGCATAAAGTCCAGTAACCTGTAATATCACACCACAATGCCACAGATGACCTGAGAAAATGCACTAACAGAGGGGAGCATCACACACCTCTCTGCAGCACAGATGTGCAGTCGTTCATTGTTTTCACTTGCACACAGTGCAGGCTGACAGATTTTGCTTTCATTGAGGTCTATGGGAAACCTTCCATTGACTTCTGTGGTCCCAGGTGAGATGATGTTTGAGTTTGGATTGCTCTCAATGACTCACTCAAAGAGTTTGTCTGGTTTGCTCTCCTCTCCTGTTTGGTTTTCCTCACAAGAACAAAGCAAAACATTTCTAGACCAACTTTCATTTTACAGAAAATGAAATATGGGAGAAAAAGAAGAAAAAAAAAAAAAGAAAGAAGAAAAAAAGAGAGAGAGAGAAAGAATAAGAGAAAAGAAAAATAAACAAACAAAAAAAAGTAAAAGAAAAAAGAACCAGAATAACAAAGTACTTTCCTAACTCTGAAGCAGTAAGCTTTTAGCACTTCATTGTCTCCTCCACACTCCATATGATATCGATGTAGGCGAACAGTGAGCAGGAGCTATCTATAGAAAGCAGTTTAAGCTGTGAATCCTGCCGCACCTCCATTCTGCAGCTCTCCATTAACAGTCTATATTTGTACAGTTTATTATACCAGAGGTCCCTGTTTTGATAAAAAGCATCGTACACCTCGGAAGGGCGCAGGCAGCAAAGGACCTGGGGAAGGAGTCAGCTCAGCCCTGTGTGCAGATCAGCCGGGAGCAAGGTGACAGATTTTCAGTGGGTCCTCTTGTTGCACATCTGGGTACCACGGCAAAATTAGCTGCTAGGCTCTGCCCTCCACAAATGAGCTTCCAAAAAATGAACAACTTGGAGGCAGCAGAGGGTGGGAGGGAATGCTGCTCAGAGATCTGGAAAACACATAGCAACTTAAAAATGGATTGAAACTGCCAAAATAATGTGAAACCACACCAAGCTGAAGGCATTAATTACTCATATACTTTTAGAAGTTATGAAACATGTCTGTCTTTGACCTTGCGTCTAAATTAGGAATTGCCCATACAGAGAAGCTGCTCAGCATTTATCATCCTTGCCTTTCACCTTGACAGAGTCGAAGCGGTTCTGCCCCCACCGAGGGGAAGCCGTATGGCACGCAGTTAGATTCCTGCTCTGGGTTAAGTTACTCCTATACGTTACATCTTTTACCCGTGATTCATCCCATCAACTGGCATGTAAACAGGAGGAAATGTCAGCTGTGTTTTTTTTTTCCTAAACATTCTGTCATTTGGAAAAAAAAAAAAATGCAATTTGTATTCAATTACTCTGAAAACTGTGTTATTTTCAAGACAGATAGTTGAAAGATTTTCGTACGAAAGCACCTTCACCAAGATTGCTGAACCTTTAAAATTCACTTTCTTGGACTTGAGTGCCCTCCTCCCCCCAAAAAAATGGTGGGTTGGAAGGAGGCCCGGGAGAAGGGCAGCCAAGCCCTGTTCATTATCAGAGCGAACACAACAGCCAGCAGGGAGCTCCGTAAGGACTCAACTTTTCTCCGCTCGACATCAAATGTATTTCTTTACAGATATATTGGGAAACCAAGTGCACAACTGAATGGAATGAGAAATTATGAAGCAGTGAGCGGTTATATAGTGACTATATGGGGTTTGGGCACTTCCAAGCTCGTCAAAACAATGGTCCTCAAAACTCCATTGAAAATAAATTACATAGGGGTTTGGAATGCAATTTGGCATTTTTATACAGCTTGCTGGCTTTCAGGATGTCTGTGCTTTCTTCACTGTCAGAGATTTTACCGCTCACACATTGCTTTCCTTTTAACTCTCTTCTTTCTTTCCCGCTAACTTTGCCTTCTCCAAGACTCATTTCTGGCCCACTCAAACGCTGCCAAGGTCAGTGCTTGCTGAGTCACAGCGGCGCTCGTTGGGTGCCCATGTTTGCAGGAGCAAGCACTTGCGAGTGGAGCAGGCAGGGACCGCTGCCTTGCAATCCCCACGGGGCACCAGGTAAAGCTATTGTCCGGTTCAATTACAATAGCATTAGTCACCCCGAAATCTGTCGTTACACACGGACGAGGTGTAAGAGCATTTGTAGACTCGGCGTGAACATCGCTGCCTCTTCAGCAGGCACACAGCTGTCTCCGAAACCGAGATCAAGGCGCAAGCCAGGGCAGCAGATGACATGCGGTGGTGCCAGTGAGAAGCCTGGCTTTGGCAGCAAGGGAAGGATTCTTAAAAGTATTTTTGTCTCCCTCCCCGATTTAGATGGAGAGACTCCTATTGTGCTTCAGCCCACGAACGCAACCGAGAAGACGCAGCTCATCGGGGACAGCCACCGGAGCTACCGCACGGACTCCTAGAGCGGGCAACGAGGGTGCCTCCTGAGGGGTGTCACGGCAAGGAGGAACACGTGAAAAGCCCTGCAGTCTGTATTCGTAGCTGTCTCTAAGCTAATCAAGAGTAACCTGAAAGTAATTTCCTGTTGAGGCGGAATCTCCCTTTAGGTCACTTCAGCTGGGTTCACATCTGCACTCTGCAAGGAGACGCCTACAGCCAGTACGGAGCTCTCGCTGCTTCAAGCTGCCCTGCTTGGCGTGGGCTTTCCTCTGCAATACTCTCTTTGGTGCGATTGCTCTTCTCCCCTGTCCTCAGCTGGGGTTTCACCTCCCAGACATGGTCCTAAACACACTGGACACACCAGCTCCTTTTCTCCATGCCCCAGAGAAGATTTCCCTCAAAAAGGTCTGTGGCAAGGCAGCTGGGACTGTCCTTCCCAAGGAGGAAAGCAGCTAGCACCTTGCTGGTGCCCAGCCCCAGAAATTGTGAATCTCAGTCAGGGGAAGCTGCTCTGGGGTCATTGTGGTGGTGGCCCCCGTTCCTCCATGGATGGATTTGCCGTCCATGCTGGGCAGCCCCGACTTTTCCATCTGCAGCCGCAGTGTGCTGGGAGTTGATCCCCAGCCAACAGCTTTCTGCCAGCTCTCTTACTCCCCGGTGCCCCTGGCCGCCGTCCCCACCACCCCGCTGGCACGGGGACAGCATCCATCACTCCCAAACAGCCTCGCGGGGCAGCAAGGACTTGGCAGGGCAGGGAGGCAGCAGAGGAGTGAGCATCCTCCCCATGGTCCTCATCCTCAGGTGAGCCTGAATCCTCCCCTCGGCCCCGGGCTTTAAGAGCACATTGCATGGCTTTAAATAAAGAGGTAGGGATGACAAACGTGCTGATAGTTATACCCTCAAACACACAACATGTTCAGTTTTGAGCAAAACCACAGTGCTTGTGTATTTCTGAAAAGCGAACCAGGTGTACCGCTGCACAAATCGGTGGAGTTATGTGTGGGTACAGCCAAAGCAAGCATAAAGAAATTAGGCCCCGAATTTGTAAGAGACAAAGAAGTAACTCTGGGATCTTAAACTTAGCACTTGTCTCATTTGACAGAGTAGTTTAAGCCTTAGACAGATGAATTTCACTTTATTGATCATGTTACATCAATCACTGTCAGTTCTGTACACTTGCTATTTTTGTTCCTCTAATCACAGTGCTGCAGTCCAAAGGGGGAAGTAATGTACCACTGAATTACAGAGACCGGTGAACATATAGCTAGTCAAAAGTCTTATTCTCTTCTTTAAAATTGGATTCTGTGGTTGTGAAACATTATTGTCTTCCTTCCATTCTCACCTTTCACTTCAAATGTCATTTAGTGGCAGCTAAATATATGGGAAAAGAGTGTGTTTCATAGCACCAGCTATCACTCCAAAGTCAAGAAACACTACTTTTAACATTTCTTTAAAGTTCCCACAACACATGGATATTTTAAAAGCCATTTATTCTAGTTCAGATTATCTACCTGCTCTCCAAGTGCAGGCACTGGGGACAGCTAATGCTCATGTTGTCCTCAGAAACAGTCCTGGTTTTTGCTGCAGAGAGGAGGGGAAGTCCCAGCACAACCAGGGCTGTTATCCTCTCCTACCCATGGGCTGAAGATAAGGTTCCCATGCTGCAGATAATTGGAGGGGTCACTCATATGTACACAAATCCAGACCGCTGCCCTGCCTGCCCAGACAGCACCAGGGGGATGAGCAGATCAGGCCTGAAACTAGGGAGAGAGCTAAATCCTAGATCAGTAAAAGCATTTTGGTAATTTTATTCACCTTTGATGTCCCTCAGGACCCCAGTGTATGAGCCAGATCCAAGGTTTACTGAAATCAAGGAAATGATTTCCACAGGCCAGAGATGTACCGTAAGTCATGTGGTTCTTATTCACTCTTTCTAAATGAGAGATTTTTCTTGGGAAAGATTCATGACTCGATCTTGCGGGGTGATGCAAATAAGGACAAGCTGCCACATGCTTGTAAAGCCCTTTTACTGACATGGGGATCTCTACAGAGAAACCACCATGTATTATCTCAGTCAGCCAAAAACCCCAAAACAAACCAATGACCAAGCCTTTGAGTGGGTTCTCCAGGATTTACGGCTTAAAAATCTGTGTGTCTGAACCCACGGTTTGATTCCAAAGAGGCACCTTGGTTTTCAGGGTACCATAACATTTGCCTCTCTCGCCATCGTCAGGATCAGCTGATTTGAGAAAGGATGAATAAGGACTGCAGGACTTAGCTCTTCCATGGGATTTTACTGTTTGTTTTGCTTTTCCAAAACGTTGCTAAAGTGAACACAGCTGTGCTTATATGACCTGTTTTTATGTAAGGTTCAGTCACACACCCATTAATCTCCTAATAATGTACAGTTGCTCAAACTTCTGTTCTATTTTGCTGCATTTGTTTAAGATGTAAATTACCGCACATTCCAAGCTACCTTTACCATCAAGCACTCTGACTAATAAAGCCTGCATGTACGAATTGTAGCACTCCCTTCATTTTTCCATACCATCAACAACTTCATTGCAGTAACAACCACAAAAGTTGTCTCAACAGCTGCCCAGGATGATGGCTTTGCACCCTGACGAGCAGCAAGCAGCAGCTCAGGATTTCCCCGAAGAGGAACTCACTCCTGGATTGCGGCAGATGAACCTGTCTATGCAAAGCAGCCAGGGGTACAGCCACACATTGCAAATGCGTCCTCTACATACAGCACGATGCTTGTCTACGTAGGAAAATTCAGCAGTGGGTTGAAGTGATGTAACACAGTAGTTTTACTGGCCTAGATACCTGTATGGAACAATTTCCCCTAGCACAGGAACAATCAGCAGACCTCACATGAGCTTCGCTTTGGGCCAGGATCTCACTCAGGGATTTTGCATCTGTCCCAGAGCCAGCGCAGAGTGCCAGATAATCTGGGCTGCTACAAGAGAGGGGTATTTCTCACTATGATGGTATCCAGCCTCTGTGACCTCAGCAGCCCAAGCATTCAAAAAATGAGTATGGGGCACCAGTTTTGGCTGGATGTATGTCATCTCTAAGATCTGTCCTTTTGAGTGCTTGAGTATGTACACATACCCAGCTTCACTCAAAATACAGAATGGAAGAAACATCTTAGAAGATTTAGGACTACCATCGGTATGGTAGTTACTAGCTACTTAGGTGGCTGGTGCACTTTTCTGCCACGATAAGGTTATACAATAAACAGCGTAACTTACTCCAAGACACATCAAATGGAGTAATATGCTGTTTAGTTTCATTGCTTACCTTCCCTAAGAATTAATACTCAGAGTATGGGTATGATTTCAGTCAAAAAAAAAAAAAAAAATTTGCCCTTTTTTAGAACAAAACTTCCACCAACGCCACGCGTTTGTGTTTCCGGAGGAGAAGTGGTGAGTGCAGGAGTATGGCAGCAGAGGGCTCGGACCTTCATGCCAGGGCCAGAAGGATGCTGGTGGTTAGCAGGGAGCCTGAAAAATTGTGTCTAGACATTTGGGGAGAGGAGAGGCCATTCTGGAAAAAGTCCTCAGCGTTTCAACCCCCTGATGAGCCAGGACGATGCCAGCCGGCATGCTCCTGCAGCGACTTGCTTCGTGAGGGTTTGTGGTGGCCTGGAGCGTGAGCAAGGTGTGTGTTGTGTTGCTTTCTGTCACAACATAACTGGGGCTTGGCACTCGTGCAGCAGGCTCTGTGTCCCCCGTGACGGCGGCACGGCTCCTGCTGACCGTGGGCGAGTGGCAGCAAAGCCTTCGGGTGCTTCGGAGGCTGGGGCTGCCTCAGGGAGAAAACACCCAAAGAAATGTGGCTGCAGATGTGTGAGGAGAAATGATGTGGGAGGACATTTTATCGAGATGGGGAACTGTAACAGCGGTGTGGGAGCTGGCTGGGTGATGTGTGAGGCGATAGCGGCTGCGAGCACCCAGTGGCGAAAAAAAGATTTGTCGTCTCCTTCGAGCCGGAATCGAACCAGCGACCTAAGGATTCCCGCGAGGTGCGCCCCTACAGTCCTCCGCTCTACCAGCTGAGCTATCGAAGGGACCTGCCCCACAGCTCGCCGACACGCCTCAAGAGCGCACCGCGCGCCGCACGGCGCATGCGCGCACCGCCCAGGGCTCCCAGGCGGGGAGCGGCCGGGCCCGGGGCTCGCTGTGGGGTGGGAGCTGAGGGGAGGGGAGGGGGCGGGGGGCGGGGGGGGGGGGGGGGCGCGGCGGGGGCGGTGGCAGCCGCTAAGGGAGGGCGAGGGGAACATGGTTTCGTGTGGGGCCAGTGGCGCAATGGATAACGCGTCTGACTACGGATCAGAAGATTGTAGGTTCGACTCCTGCCTGGCTCGCTCATTTTTTTTATTCTCGCCGCACTCCATCTCCTGCACGTTTTGACACACAAATATGCAGCTGTACAGCTCTGTTTGGTTTATGTTTAGCTCTGTTTTCTTAAGCCTGCACTCCTGATTTCGTGCCACTTGCACACCTGGCACATCATTGGATTCTCACGTCTCCCAAAACAACAAAAGAAACACACCTTAACACATAAAATATAAAAAGCACCATCTACACTTAAGCTTTTCAGACCACTTAAACATCCACCCAGTCAAACACATTCCCTGTGGCAACAAATAACACAATTAACACGCCAATGAAGTTGCACTGGCAGAACCACAGAAGCATAGAATATCCCGAGTTGGAAGGGACCCACTAGGATCATGGAGTCCAGCTCCTGGCACCACACAGATCGACCCAAAAATTCAGACCATGTCTCCAAGCGCACAGTCCAAACACTTCTTAAACTCCAGCAGGCTCGGCGCTGTGACTACGTCCCTGGGCAGCCTGTCCCAGTGCCCGACCACCCTCTGAGTGCAGAACCTTTCCCTAACCCCCAGCCTGACCCTCCCCTGTCCCAGCTCCATGCCATTCCCTCAGGTCCTGTCGCTGTCCCCAGAGAGCCGAGCTCAGCACCTGCCCCTCCTTAGGCACCAGCCGAGGGACAGTGCAGGCCCAGTACAGTGTGGTTAGCAGGGCAGACAGCGCTGTGACAAGGAGCAGAGGAACCAGCAGCATCGCTGCGATGGGCAGTATCACCACAGTGAGAATGCATTAGTGATAGAGGCAAACCAGTACTCCCCAGTAACCAGACCTGGGAGCAGCCCACGCATACACCATTGGATTCAACACAAGGTAGGGATGAAACCGGTTGACGTGGAGCAAGCACTGCCATTAGGAGCTAGTGGGGGTCCTGTGGGACTGCCGTCCTCCCAGCAGGACACAATGCCACAGGTGGAGGCGGCACGCCGCCATGTCATGCGTGCTCCTTTGTTGCAGCCAAACACGGCTGGTGAGGACGTAACGTGGGACATCTGTGTTTAACAGGAAAAAAAATAAAAAAAATTAAAAAGTGTGTCTTTTTTTTTACACAAAAGTTCCATGCAATAAGTCTCGGCTGGGTTAGGCCGGCCGCCACCTGGCGCAGCCAAAAGAGCGATACGAGCCAGGCAGGAGTCGAACCTACAATCTTCTGATCCGTAGTCAGACGCGTTATCCATTGCGCCACTGGCCCCGCACACCAGCAGCGCCCGGGCCGACGCCCCCTCAGCGAGCCCCTCGCGGGGGGGCGGGGCCGCGCGGCGGGGATGCGAAGGCGGCGGCGGGCCCGCTCTGCGCATGCGCCGCCCCAGCTGATGCCGGCTGCCCGCGGAGGGCGCATGCGCAGAGCGACGCGCGGGGTGGGGCGGGAGCTTGGGCGGCCGCGGCGCGGCGGCGGGCAGGTCCCTTCGATAGCTCAGCTGGTAGAGCGGAGGACTGTAGAGGCGCCGCCCGCGGGAATCCTTAGGTCGCTGGTTCGATTCCGGCTCGAAGGAGACGCCAAATTTTTTTTTTGTATTTTTTTTTTCTTTCTCTCCTGCAAATCGGTTTCAGCGAGCTGCCGCAGCTCGTGTGGGAGCACATCCCTGTCAAAGGGGCAGCCGGGGGAAAGAAAATAAAAAAGAAAATAAAGCCACCGCGTCCAGGTGCCAGCTGTGTGGTACGCACTAAGCGCTGTGCTGCAGCTGCACTGGTGGCAGTGTGTGGTTGTTTCCAGCAGTAATAGTGCATAAATTTGACATTATTCCATGTGAAGCCCCCAAATAGGTCTGTTTAACTCATTTTTGTCTGATTTTATTAGGTCACCTGGTGGCACGGTAGGGCCGTGGGCCTCCCCACAGTGGCCTTCAGGCAGTTCAGCTCCCCCCACAATTGCCAGGTAATCCCCACTGACCCAGCTCTGCTCAGGGCATCTTCCTGGTGGCAGGGCATAAAAGTGCCCCACGATTTCCCAACTGATGGTAAAAGACCTGAGGCTCGGCTCTGGCCTCCAGTCATGTTGTAATGGGAGGCACAGCATGATCTGCAACAAGGTAGAGCAGTAGGAGAGGGCACAGGTGTCCTTTACACAGAAGGGATTTAACACACATGATCACAGGCTTGCTTGGCATGTGGTAAATAGTCAAGCCAGCACTTGTATTCTGCTTTTTTTTTTTTCTTCCCTGTCTTATGTTCTATTGTATTGCCATTTTCCTTCATGTCATCTTTTTCATTACAGGTGCTACACGGTGTGCAGAAGAAACACGCTTGGTGATGACTCCTGGCTTGGAAAAAGTAAACATGTCTCAAGGCAGCAAAGTCTGTCAGCATTGTAGGGGGAGAAAGGTTTTCTCCTTCAAAAGAGCGTAGAATGAGTGTTCTCTGTGTGAGAGTGTGCTTTTCAGATATAAGTGCAAGGAAGGCCCACTATCTGTGTGAATAAGAAAGGTAAGAAAATTGTCAGTCACTGGGCAAGAAGATTTATCAGGCACAGTCAAACCTGCAGGCTTCTGGTGTGTAGTTACACACTTTATGCATTGAATCACTGGCCCCAGCTAAGCTTTCTATTATTTAGTACATTTTAATGTATGCTTATGTACACTTGTGCCACCTTTTCTTGTTTTTCTTTAACCGTGATGCAGTGAAACACTTTTAGGAAGTATGTAAGAGGAAATCCAAGGAACAGGGGCACCCTGGAAGACAGAGAATGAGTAAAGACATCCATTTCCTTCGGTGTCCATTACCTTAAATGTTCACACACTAGCAGTCAAATCTGAATTCACAGTCCAGAAACACCCCTTTGATACTCCCTGGTGTAGGAGACAGCACCAATTCCATCCAGGGCCAGAAGACTAATTTTTCTTAGTCAAGTTTCACTTATTTGTACATAAATGCCTTTGCTCCTACTTTTTGCAGAAGTTCATGGGAACTCATGCATTCCTTTTTACTTATTTAATGGATCCCCTTTTTCCTCTTCCCTCTTATGGAGAAACGACTATCTTCTTTCCTTCTCCACCTGGCAACCTGACTTCTTGGCCAGCTTGAGAAAAGACATTTTTCCTCTCTCACCCAAAAGGTGAGACGTGTGCCATTCTGCATAAATGCATGTTACCTGTAATGAAAAGGAAGTCAGAGGAAGGAAAA